ACCATTAAAGGGCCATCTAGTCCAACTCACATGCAATAAACAGGGACATTTTTGACTTGACCAGCACTTCATCCAACCTGATCCTTAAGATTCCAGGGATGGGGCATCTGCCACCTCTCTGGACAACCCACTTCAGTGTTTCACCACCCTCATCATAATTTTTTTCCCTAATATTGTTTGATTTGACTTTTTTTCAGCTTAAAACCATTACCCCTTGTCCTATCATTACAGCCCTGCTACAATGTTCCCACCTTTCTTCTAAGCCCCTTTTAGGTACTGGAAGGCTGCTATGAGGCATCCCCAGAGCCTTTGCCCCCAGTTCTTTCATCTTGTCTCCATAGGAGAGGTGTTCGAGCCCTTTAATCCCTTTTGTGACTCATTCCAACAGGTCCATCTCATTCCTTCACTGGGGACCCCACAGGTGCAGATGGGTTCTCACCTGAGCAAGCCTGTCAAGTTTACTTTTTTGCCCCTCATGGTGGCCAGAAGATGACTAAGGAAGTTTGGAGAGAAAGAATAAAACAGTCTTTAAAGGTACTTAAAAAAATAATCTCAACAATAACTGAATCAATTTAATTTAAAAATTTATTCAACTGCTTAGCTACAGCTTGAAATAACTTTTTGAGTCATAGGTGGGTCAAAATTTAAAACTGGAATCTGAAGACAATCTCCAGCCAGCATCAAAATTTAGCCTGAACCTTTACATAGAACATTTGCTTTGTGCAGTTACCAGCAAGAGCTAAAAATATATGTGATAAAGATGGAAAAATAGTACATTTTGTTAACTTTTTTTTTTAATTGCACCTTCATGTAGGGAACTAATATTCCATTGGTATGGTTAAATAACTCCAAATAAGCAGGGCAGAGGGGCAGAATCCCCTTGCTGTCCACACTGTGGGATGAGCTCAGGACAGGTTTGGCTTTCTGGGCTGCCAGAGATCATGGCTGGGTCATGTCCAGCCTCTCACCCACCAGCAATTATCAACACCAGGGGTTGTGCCACCCACCTGCAGGTTGCTGTGCATAAGCTATTCATCACACTGGATTGCAGCAGTTTTTATTTGGGATGCCATTTTGATCACCCCATTCCACTTCCTGACTGCAGATAAAGCGCACTGGCAGATCAGTGATCTTGCCTGAGAATATTAATGTATTTCTCTGTCAGCCTTCATGTTACTATCTATTCCTTGCTGAACAATTTCACACATTTCACAAAAGGCTTTTGATTGCTTAACAGAGCAGTTTTATCAGAACAAATGCAAATTACTATTTACAACACATTTTTGATTCTCATCTTAGCGTCAAATGGTGTTTCTCTGTTGCTACTTCACTTAGACCTTAGAAATGAGGATTCACCTTATAAATTAAGAGTATTCACTCTGAGTAAATCTTGCACTCACTGTGTAGACTTGGAAGATTTTAGATTTCAGCATTCTCCTTATGCTGAGCAGATTCAGATTCCTAGAGAAGACAGATGTTTGGAATTCTTGAACAACTGTGTCTTGCCTAACAATACACTGAAGAATCGCATTTCAGATGATGGCACTGCTTGTGTGACATCCTCCCATCTCCACTTTTTTTGCAATAAAATGAAATGGAGAAAAAACAGAAGAGGAAAGCAAATATCATTTATTGTCTAAAGAAACTTCAGTTCTGTTCTTGAAGCAAATTTAAGGTATTCCTTTTTACAGAAGCTGGGTGTATTTAGTAGAAATTACTCAGAACAGCAATTGGTTTAACCAGGAATATGCCCTTCTAGCCCACGAATTGAGCTGATAAAGCAATTTCTGAATGACTTTGCTTATATAGGCACAAGGCAGCTTCTTCTAATTTTACCAGGTTAATGACAAAATTAGATACAGCCAAGTAGTTCATGTGTGCAGCTGTGCTGAATCTGACAAGCTTCACCAGAACAGTTACAAGAAATTGTTAATAAATTCTCACACAGAGAAGTTTACTAGAGATAGAAAACTATCAGCAGGAAAGCTGGGAATTGTTTATTTAAGACATCCTGGACACACTGTATTCATGTCTCCTACAGAATTCAGGTTAAACCCTGAGCAACTGGTTATCTTTTTCTGTGTCATAAAATGTAGTTATCAGAACATTTGCATGCAGCTTTTTTAGCACCCATCCTTCAGAAACACATGATACCTTTAAACACAAAGTTTTGTTTTCATGGTGCTTAAAACAGGATTTCTGTCAGCATAACTTGTGTTCTGCCTCAAAACAATATATATTTTTTGTGTTTTGTGCATTATTTTTAAGGTGTTCAGACAAGAAAATAGTTTTTAAAATTTTAATATTGTCTTTAATTCTGAAAACTAATACAAAACAATACATTTTCCCCTCTAATTGTAAACTTGTGAAAGACTTAATCTAAGCATATTTTCACATTGACTTGAGCTAGGAATAGCCAGTTTTCAGGCAGACTTTCACACAGGTGTAACATGGTTCCACGCCACAATCCCATTCTGTACAATTCATGTGATCTAGAATACACAATTATTCAGAAAAACATCCAAAACTTTAAAAAACCATGGACAGGCAGCATGTGCTGGTGTTGCTTGATAACTACCAGATTATTAACTAGTCAATTGGCAGCTTCAAGTTAATCTGTAACATCAAACTACAAAAAAAAGAGACACCAAGTGAATAATCCAAGCATTTGTAATTGAACACTAAGTTTCAATGTAATATGTAAGGAGTATGACTGCTAGCTTGTCCAAAGAATTTAAGGTGTTTTAATTCTTCTTAAGTGTTAAAGAAAATAGTAATTTTAGTTTTCAAGGTACAGCACATTTGCAATGAAGTTGGATTTCAAACTGAGTTCAATGCTTTTGGTCATCACCATGGAAATGTGACTACTCAGGCACAAGAAATTTCTTTGGTACTTTTATTTTTCTTTTCTCTAAGCACAGCATTGGTGACAGCTTTTCTAAATTTAGAGATGTACCTGGAACTAGAACTTTGTCTTTTCAAATCAGATCTCCCTCCACATTCTCTTTGGCATTCTGCACAAAGATTAACCTAACCCCTCTTTGCTGAACAATGCTCTTCAAAGCGGTACTCTCTGAAGAAAATAGTATAATTTTGTAAAAATGGTTTATTCTAAAAATTGGCACATCAATGAAAAGATTCCCCTGAAAAGATTCTATTCTTATGTATTGTAACATCTCTAAAATGCCAAAGTTCTCAGTTATGAAGTGTACGCCACTTAGAACTGCTTCACATCTTGAGTAAAAAAAAAAAGATGCAACAAGCAAGAAAGCAGCAAGATTTCAGCAAATGCTAGTAAAAACTTTCAGTGCTTCTGATATTAAAGAGTGGTTTAGGTTGGAACAGACCTTTAAGATTATCAAGTCAAACATTAACCCAGCATGGCTAAGGCCAACACTAAACCATATCCCCATGTGCAATGTCTACACGTCCTTTTAAATATCTCCATGGATGTTTACTCCGTCACCCCCTGGACAGCCTGTTAAAATGCTTTTCACCATTTCTGTGAAAAAATTCTTCCTACTATCCAAATTAATCCCTCCTGGCCCAGCCTGAGGCTGTTCCCTCTGCTCCTGTCCCTGTTCCCTGGAGCAGAGCCCGACCCCCCGGCTGTGCCCTCCTGGCAGGAGCTGTGCAGAGCCACAAGGGCCCCCCGAGCCTCCTTTGCTCCAGGCTGAGCCCCTGCCCGGCTCCCTCAGCCTCTCCTGGGGCTCCATTCCCTTCCCAGCTCCGTTCCC